TCATTGCATTGCACAATTATCTCCCCTTCCAAAGAGTTTTTATTTATATTTTTCTTTAACAAGGTTGCTGTATTAAAATTTGCCAGCAAGTTAGACATCTTGTCCCCAAACTCTGTAATAGGTTGGTTGTAACCTTGCTTCAGATCATATATTCTTTGTAATATTTGGGGTACTGATAATGTGGGAATGTGGTTCAAATTCAATTTTTCTACTAGTTCTCTTCAAGAATTAGGGTAACCTACAGGTGAAACCCTAGCACGAACATTGTGGTGAATTTTACACTCAACCAAATATTCTAAAAATTCATATTTGTCTTCAGTACGTAGTTTTTTGTCGTAACTATTTATTTTGTGTAAGAACGAACTCAGTTTTTCCTGTTTTCCTGTAAAAGTTTGTATGTATTTTTCTACATACTCGACGTTAAGTCCTACGAGAATAGACATGGTTGAATTTCCTGTCTGATTAGAGATTGCAGAAGAGTTATTACTGCTAGCTAAATCTGTGTTGCTAGTATTGTCTTCTGAGGTGGACATTTTTGTTAGGTAAAGTTTTGTTTTGTTATAGTTATACAGAAAATTTTCTTTAAGTATAGCTGTCTCTTCTAACTTTGAGGTTATATATATTGAATTTACCTCACTTTTTAGATTTTCTAACCTAACTAATATCCTCTACTACTTGATTTGTTTGCGTTTTTTAAAATTGACAGTACTTCTCCTAGATTTTTTATAATTGTGTCCATGTGATAACACAATTGTTACAACGATAGATGAAATTAGATTAGGGCAATAGAGTGAAACTTCTCAAGAGAATAATGTAGTGGAAACAACAAACCGTTATTATTATAACAAACAGTATGATAATATGCATCAATTATTATGAACTTTAATATCAAATGCTATATTCAATCATTTTCAGAAATATGTGTAGAAATTAAACTTAATTTAAATTTATATAATTATATTTTATTACGTTTCATTTAATATCAAATACAATAATCAATCACATTTTCAGAAATATGTGTGATATAAAAATTAAACTTAATTTAAATTTATATAATTATATTTTATCACGTTTCATTTAGTAAATGTAATTCATGTAATTCATGATTCATGTATATTTATATAATAGAAAAAGATATGTTTGGATTTCATTAAATTAATAAGAAATACATGGAATTTTTTATTTTATTTTACTATATTTTTAAATTTATTTTTATACGTCATTGCTTATATTTCTACGTACATGTTTATGTACATATTTTTTTATGTATTTATCTGTTTTATAAGCAATAAATATAATTATTATTATTAATAATAAAGTAAGGAGTGCTACATGTGTATTTCCTGTTGTTGTTGTTTGCATGTTGTTGATGTTGTTTGTAATGTCAGTGTTTTGTCCTGGTTTGTTTCCCACGTTGTACTCGTCGCTCGAGAACCATCCCATGTTTGTTTTCTATATGTAATTTTTTTGAAGATTTGATGATGATTTTGATGATGATTTTTTTTTTGTCAGTTACTTGTTATTTGTTTAATCAATAAGTTTAATTATTTATTGAATGAATGTTTCAATGTATATTGTTGTTTTAAAATTCTCACTTTCACCAAGTCATAATAAATTTAATTTTTAAATAAATTCATGTTCAAAACACTTTACATAATGTTTAGTTACACATTATTTAATTAAATTTTTTAAATAAATTCATGTTCAAAACACTTTACATAATGTTTAGTTACACATTATTTAATTAAATTTTTTTTTAAATAAATTCATGTTCAAAACGCTTTACATAACGTTTAGTTACACATCACCATTGTCACGAAAATTTAGTCCTTTTATTTTTCTTTTAAGACTTTATTATTCCAACTCCACGGTATTTGTATGTCTTACACAATATAAAATTTTTAAAAGTTTTTTTTTTTAATTTTTAAATTTCAAAGTAATGGAACTTGCCATTTTGGCAGGATCGCCATGTAATAATAATATGAATTTTATTTATTAGTTTGATTATATTATTTATTATTAAAACGACTATGTTTCTTGCTCGTCATTTTTAGACTGATTTTAATTAAATTTTCTTCTTAAGTCTAACATAGTTTCTTACAATTAATTTCCAATGGAATCTTATGTAATGATTCTATTGGTTGATACTTGTATTGCTACCATCTAATTGGTTAACCCAAATTAGACGTATATAATGTTTTACAATAATAGCTTATATACATTTATTAGTTATATTCTATTTCACAGTGGCACACATCTGGTAACCAACTGTATTGAGGGCAAATCATATTACATGCACGATCGCTTGCAATATGATCTGTGAAACACTTAACACAAATTCATGTGCTGAGCATGCCGCAATCCAAATTGTCAAATGCATATTGGAACAATTAAATATGCATACAAATATTTTGTCATAAAGAAATGACAAAATAGACGAGTCAAATTTCTGACTCATAAATTATTTTATATTTGACAATTAGGGTTTTTGGTCATGCTTGATATTTGAGTGTTTCGAGTTAGTGTGACACATTAAATACCGCACACAACGTATTGTGTGTGGTCAAGGCAAAGAATCTATAGTATAGATTCTTACTATAGATTCTTTGGTCAAGGTTAATATGCCACTACAGTACTTACAAGAAGATTTGTATCTTTGACTCGACTTCGATTCGCTAGTCAACTGCCTATCGGTTTTCTATGGTTTCAGATAAATTTACGAAGACGTAAATTCAGTTTCTTATCTGTATTTGCTATATAAGCACTATACTAACTTACCATAACTTTCTTTAGTAACTACCATTAGTTTATTAACTATTAAAAGGTGCAAAGGATGACTAATATAATATGGACACAGATAATGTTCAACCCAGTTATAAAACCCGTCGGCGTAGCTAATATTCTAGGCACAGTAGCTAACATGTAGTCGCAGTTATCTCTGTTTAAGGCACAATGTGCATATACAGCAAATATTCAAGGCACTAAATGATGAGCATGTACAGTAAATATTCAAGACAAAAAATAAGACATATAGATTATACATCTCTTACCATTTCCTTAGTTACTAAGTTCTTTTCTTACTCTTGAGTTCCGTGCCTCGATTCCTTGCCGCCGACACAATATTCATGTGTTAGTGCGTACCTTTTATAGACGAATTCCATAGAGTGCTGTAAAGCCTTCTATGTAATTCCTCTATCTGATTACTGTTAAAGCTCTCAGATTGGAGCGCTTCACGTTATATATAGTTTGTTACCTTGTTTTATGAAGATCTGGACTGTTTCACGCTGATTAGAACCAAGGCTGATCTGCGCCATTCAACGACGTTAATCAAAGGCGCCGATGTTGCTATATTCCATAATTATGTTTAAAAGAGCCGATTTGCACTGTTCAACGATGATCACAAAAAGAGATCGATTTCACGTTTTGGTGTCATTTTATTCGGTCTTGTTGACGCTTTTAATCCCGCTATCTTATGAAGTTGTTTACTTGTTTTCGCATTATGTGCATTTTCTTGGTTGTAGAATTGTTTTTGGTTGTTTACAACCTGTGGCCTTGCTTACTGTTTTAGCAAATTTTGTTTGCAAAAATTGATTTGCTTGTTTATGATTTTTTTCGGCTTACTGCATCTGTTTTGCATCCTTGTTGTTTAAACAAATAATTTAGCGCCGCGCAGTATTGTATAACCCTAACTTTGCGGGGAATAAATTGGGTCGTTAAACAGTGAACTTCAAATTTGTTTTTATGTGCTTCAGCCTGAAGCGTGGTTATTTCATCAACTGTCGGTACGTTCAAGTCACGATGAAGATCATTATTACGGACATTCCATGAAGCATTGGTAATTAGTATGTTGCTTTTATGTCGTTGGATTTTCTGCCTATTTGACTCAGACGTGTAACCCCAGAGTTAAGATTCGTAGGCTCAAATTTGACATAATACCAGCTTGTATATTATTAGCTTGTTTTTGATTGACAGTAGAATGTCGTACGAGTAGCCACTTAATTGAGTTGAGCTTAAGATTTAATTCTTGACGCTTTTTTTTGGCATATTCACACCACCGATTGTTCTGTTATAAATACTCGGAATATCGTGTGTATATAAAATATATAATTACGAACCAAGAATGCTACTCTGTTGAATATTTTTTGGACAGATATCCCAATAAATGTTTTTGCATTTAATTCTAAACTATCTCTTAGAAAGATACGATAAGAAAAATATTGCGTACTCCATTGACAGAATCGTTCTTATTATTCAACTTTATCAAAGGCCTGTGGTACGTCGAAAAAAAGAGCAGAACCTTTTTTTTTCAAAATATTTTTGGATAATATTTGTAATTGTGTTGAATCCGGCCTGTTAATGAAATAACACTTAAGAAAATGAGTTGACAGCACTTAAACTGTAACCCCTGATTGAAAAGCTGAGTTTCCAGCACTTGAACTGAAACTCTAAAATTTTGAATTAAAGAGATCGAATATTGATTTCAATCTGATTTTTATTAAATTAAATTTCGCCTTAAATACTAAATTATTACAAATTATTACAATAACAGCATTTAATTTTATTTTTTTCCTTTACCGTTTTCTTGCCCAAAGTGCAAGCTCAGCATATATTATGCAACCAAATTCTTTGTTGTGTCTAGCAACCAAGAATTAATGCCAATGCACTGGCCTTGATATATGTTACATATTCAAAGTTCAGTGCCACTGCACTTAACAAAAAATATAATCCAAATATTCAAGTTCAGTGCCACTGCATTTTACCAAATTAAATAAGGCAAAGGAAAGTCAAATTTTGGATATTGCTAACATCAGCATATATGTTCAAATTTTACAATAATTGTTTTACATATAGATAAATATATTTATACTAATTAAATGTGTAAATCTTGATATTGCGCAATTATAATAATAATACAATTTTACAATAATAATAATTAAATGTGTGAACATGCTGCCCGCCTTGAATTGACAACATCAATTCTAATTATTGGAAGCTGCAAGTCAACATGCTGTATCCTCGGTCATCTGTTGTTGTCGTGGCATCGGTATTGGAGGTGTTTGATGGGTGATTTTTTGCCTTCGCCATATATATATTAGTGCACTAGCGACACATAGAAACATTGTTAATGCAACGTAGCTGGTTATTAGACTATATGTCCCTGAACTAATAGCATCAGTTGGAAAACTGGAACTCTGGATGTGGCCTAATTTTCGTTGAATAAGTTCAAGCTTATGGATTGAGGGTAACAATGATTTGACGCTGATGTTATTGCTCGCATATTGTTTTGTCCATCCTACAGATAGGTTAAATCTGGTGATCGATGCCTGCATTGAAGTAACCACGGGAGGTGACCTTGGAGTTTCTTGAGTCTGTTCTGATTCGATTTTTCTTTTAGTCATTTTTCCAAAGGTTGGATCTTCTAATTTATCGTCTTCAGGAAATAATGGAGCTAATCTGTGTACCGGTCTTTTAAATACTCCCTTTTTTGTTTGAATGTCACAAACTCTCACTAAACCATCTTCGCCTTTGTAAACCTTGATGATGCGTCCCAAAGGCCATTGCAGAACTGGGACATTGTCTTCTTTAAGGATTACCATCGTATTGGTCTGTATGTTCGTGATTGGACCCTTCCACTTGTGGCGCTGTTGCAATTCGCTTAGATACTCCTTAGTCCAGCGCTGCCAAAAACTGTGTTTTAGCTCTGGTACCAGTTGCCATCGTTTAAGTAATTTTTCTTTAGAGTCACGTGCATGCACATCAACGCTTGAAGTGATTTCTTCACCTATTAAAAAATGACCTGGAGTTATTGCGTTCAAATCGTTTGCATCTGATGAGCTAGGAATAAGGGGTCGCGAGTTCAACACTGCTTCAACTTCAATAACGACAGTTTCAAGCTCTTCATATGTTAGTGATGCTGTTGAAACATTTTTGACCAGCAAATATTTGGCACATTTTACTGCTGCCTCCCATAACCCGCCGAAGTGTGGTGACCTTGGTGGAATGAAGTGAAATTCTATGCCTTTCGTACTGCACATTCCTGCAATTGATTCCCTCGCTTGATCAGCGTAGATGACGTCAGTAAGTTCCTGCAACTTGTTTTTCGCTCCAACGAAGTTGGTCGCATTGTCGCAGTATAACGTTTTACAGCGTCCTCGTCTTGCTATGAAGCGTTTTAATGCTCCAATGAATGCATCTGTGGTCAGATCAGTCACAAGTTCTAAGTGTACGGCCTTGGTTGCAAAACAGCAAAAGACAGCGATATACGCCTTTTGTGGACGCTTGCCTCTTGTTTTGTAATGAACCCATATTGGGCCACAATAATCAACTCCAGTGCTGAGAAATGGTCGAGCTGGTTGCACACGGTGTCCAGGCAAATTTCCCATGATTTGATTGTACACAATTGGCCTTGCTCTTCTGCATCTTAAGCATTGTTATATTACAGCTCTCATCGAGCTTTTTCCTTTGAGGGGCCAAAAACGCTGCCTCACTTGTGCCAGCAATGCTTGGGCGCCACAATGATAATTGACTTTATGTATTTTTTCTACCAGCAACTTTACTAGTGGATCGTTGCTTGGTAAAATCATTTGATGAATGGCATCAAATTGCAGTGTTGAAGAGCTTAGACGTCCGCCAACACGTATTACCCCTTCTTCATCTACGAACAGAGTTAGAGAACTGAGGTTATGAGTTTTTGGCACAAATTTGTCCTTAACTAGCATTTTCCTTAGATCAGAAAAATCGGAGGCCTGGATTTGACATATTATTACCTTAAGTGCGTTTTTTGTGAAACGAAGTACATATCCAACAACTTTTTGGACATGTGTGAATAAATTTCTTGAATGAATCGAGTAGACCCATGCATGCTCATTGGTAGGGTGTTGTGTTGATAAAGCGAGCTCCACCGTGTTATCTTCAACAATTAATTCCCTTTTGAAGGGAGCTGGCCACAGCGGCTTTGGCTGATATAAAAATAGTGGACCATAAAAGCACATGTAGCATGATGAAAATTCCCGCGGTTTAAGCCCTCTTGACAGGATATCTGCCGGATTTTGTTTTGACGGGACGTGACGCCATTGTTCTGGAATTGTTAACCGAAGGATTTTTACAATGCGGTGGGCGACGTAAACGGGTAATTTGCCTGGATGATTGTTTATCCAGGAAAACACAATTTGTGAATCTGTCCAAAAGTAAGTTGCTTTGTCTTGATAGCCTAAATCAAGTTTAACTCTTGCCATGAGTTCTGCTGCTAGCAACGCTGCACACAATTCTAGTCGTGGAATTGTTTGAGATTTTATGGGTGCTACACGAGATCTGGAGCATAGTAGATTAAGTTTTATCGTTTTATCCTTTTGTACTGTTCTAATGTATACTGCTGCACCATAAGCCTTTTCTGAGGCGTCACAAAAAGCGTGCAGCTCAACATGGCTGTAGCCTTGACTGCTGAATACGTGCCTCACAACTGTTGCATTGTCCAACAAGGCCAGATCTTCTCTATACGATGTCCATTGTTTACGTATTTCTGACGGAAGATCATCATCCCAATCGAGTTTTAGCTGCCATGCTCCTTGCAACAAGATTTTACCGGTGACCAAGATTGGACCAATAAGACCCAAGGGGTCATATATGTGTGCCAAATCGGAGCTCATAGATCGTTTTGTTGTGTGACTATGCTCTCGAATGTTAACCTTGATAAGAAATGAATCTGACTTTGGTAACCATAAATTGGGTTTCCTTGGAATCAAAATTAAGATTTACTTCTTGATCTTCTGGAGCGATTCCATGTAAAAGTTTTGGGTTGTTTGCACACCATTTTTTTAGTTTCATTCCAGCCTTGTCTAGAATTGTTATTAATTGTTGTTGAATTAGTAACGCTTCGTTGATGGTATCAGCTCCTATGAGACCGTCGTCAACATAAAAATCCTTTTTTAAAGATGTGGCGCCATATAAATAATTTCCTTGATATTCATCCGCCAATTAAATATAGCGCTGCTCTTGTGCCATAAGTAACTGTGTTCAACTGATAATAATTAAGTGGTTCTGTGGGATTTTCTCGCCACATTATGAGTTGCAAATTTCGATCATCTTTGTTAACCCATATTTGACGGTACATTTTTTCCACATCAGTTTTTAAAACATATTTGTGCATTCTAAATCTGAGCAAAATCGAAAACAGTTCGTCTTGAACTTTTGGATCATTAAACATTATGTCATTTAGTGATGGCCCTGATAATTTGTGTACTGATGCGTCAAATACAACTTGCAGTTTTGATGTTGAGCTGTCTGGACGTAGCACACAGTGGTGAGGGATGAAATATTGGGGAGATATTATTTCGCTACCGCTGAATTTTGTCATGTGTCCCAATGCTTCATATTCCCTCATAAATGAAACATATTGATTCTTTAGATCAGGATTTTGAATGAAACGGCGCTCGATTGTCTTGAACCTCTCGTAAGCGATTCCTTTTGTATCTGGTAACACTGATGGATGATTCTTTAGAGGGAGTTTCACAACAAATCTGCCATCACTTCCTCGAAAAGTGTGTTTCAAAAAATGTGACTCACAACGCAATTCGTCTTCTGTAAGTTTCGAAGTTGAATCTGGAATTTCCTCTGATTCCCAGAATTTCAATATAGATTCTTCTAGTTCCTTAGTAATGCATATGCCACAAGTTGCCGTGCTTGAATTTGAAGTTTCAATATTGCCAGCTACAACCCATCCAAAAATAGAATTCTGAAGTGTTCGAAGACTACCTGCTAGTTTTATTTGACCTTCAATAAATAACTTGAAAAAGATCTCTGCTCCTAACAGGCAATCTATTCGGCCAGGTTTGTTAAAATCTGGATCAGCGAGACCTTTGGAATATCCCAAGATTCGATATTCAAATACTGCATTGGCTGATCTGAAACGATTTTTGGTATGATATGTGCATCCGTCTCTGCTACAAATTCGTTCAACGTTGATTATACTCGGATTATTGTTTGATGACATATTTTTGATTCATTTGCGCGTACGCCTTCCATACTCATAAGCGTTGGCCTAGGCTTGCAGCCCAATTTTTTTGACAGGCGGTTTGTTATGAGATTGATTTGAGAGCCAGAGTCCAATACTGCTCTGCATTCAATTTGTCTTCCGTTTGATGCCAGCAATCTTATTCTGGCCGTCCCTAATAAGACATAATTAGATTCCTTATTGGTATTGTTTGTTAAAAAGGTTATTTTATTTGATGATTGGTTTGAAACTGAAGCTTGACTTGTTTGTTGAGGCGTTGAGTTATTTCCTTGAAAAACAGTACCTTTTGTGTATTGATTCCCCTTTGGATTATGCATCAAAGTGTTATGTTTTTTAGAACACTTAATGCAGTGCCTGGATTTACACTCATCAGCTCGATGTCCAATCCTGAGGCAGTTCACACACAAATTGAACTCCTTAACCCAATTGGACAGGTTTTACTTAAACCAAATTTTGTAGCTGAAGCACATGTTCGAGTGAATGATGAATCTCCTTTTCCCCTAGCCTCAAGTGATTGAAATCTATGTTCCAAGAATTTTAGCAATTCATCAATGGTTATTAAACGTTTGTTGTCTGTTAGCCCTCGTTCGAAAGCTGTTAGAGTTTCTGCATCCAGCTTGCGCAGCAATAGATGTACCAGGATAACATCCCAATGTTCGACTGGAACTCGTTGAGCCTTGAGACCATGTATGCATTCCTTGCTTACATCGTGTAGAGATTTTAATGCTGGTGCCGACTCCCTTTTAATGGAGGATTGTCCCATTAATTTATTTAGGAGTGTTGTAACCAGAAGTCGTTTATTTTCATAACGACTTGTAAGTAAGGCCCAGGCTATATTGTAATTTTCTCCTACTACTGAAAGATGTCTAATTAGCCCCTTTGGCTCGTTATCCAATGATGTAGTCAGATAATGCATTTTTTTGCTGTCACTAATGTCCGTGTTGTGGACCAATTCCATATACAAGTCCTTGAATTCCACCCACCGCATATAGTTTCCATCAAATTTTGGTAGTGATATTCTTGGTAGAGGCAATTCGCAATCTGTCTGTCTTGAGTTGCGAATTATCTGATTATTATGCAAATGTTGTTGCAGTTCGATCATGGCAGCTCCTGCCTTTTCCTCGAGTTCATAAAACATTTCCAGTGTGTAGTCCTCAATGATGCTTTCGTCGGTAGCTTCCCATAAAGTTGTGTTATTTGCCGTTAAATCGACCATATATCCTTCAAGACTGGCTGCCTTTATAGAATAGTGTGTAGATGGTTGTTCAACTTGCCTGTTGACCACGATTTCTTCTATCGTTCTTTCAATTACACGTATGAGTGCCTTCTGATTTCGGAGTAGTTTCCGAATGTTTGAATCATTTATCTGATTGTTTTGCTCAATTGATGTGCCATTGCTTGCTGAAGATAATTTTTTTAGCTCTATTGCTTCAATTTCTAGAACCTTGTTGAAATCGACAATCATTTTAAGAATACTCTGATACTCTTTGTTCACCAAGTATTCATGGTCGTCAACCTTGTCCACTGAAGCCATGATTATCTGATGATTTTCATGATATTCGTCACCCAACCTTTGCAATTCTTGAATCTTGTCTGTATAGAATTGAGAATTCTGCGAGGTTTTCCAGCATTTTTGCAATTACCAATAAATTGTTTGATTTTGTCGCCCAATGCCTTTTGCCGATCCACTAGCGAACTGAAACCCATTATCCAGTTAGTTGATTTGTTGATTAACAGCCAATTTCACACCTTGTGAAACTAAAATTGTTTTATTTGTCCTCTGTTGATGCTGACACCAAAGCCTGTATTGATGTAATCGTAGGACACCTTTACGTCAAATTCGTGTTCTTTGTCCTCTTTTGACGCTGACACCAAAGCCTCTGTTGATGTGATCGCAGGACACCTTTACGTCAAATTCGTGTTGAATTATCAAGCGATTCACATGATAATCACGTCGGGGTCACCAAATTAAATGTTAATGAAATAACACTTAAGAAAATGAGTTGACAGCACTTAAACTGTAACTCCTGATTAAAAAGCTGAGTTTCCAGCACTTGAACTGAAACTCTAAAATTTTGAATTAAAGAGATCGAATATTGATTTCAATCTGATTTTTATTAAATTAAATTTTGCCTTAAATACTAAATTATTACAAATTATTACAATAACAGCATTTAATTTTATTTTTTTCCTTTACCGTTTTCTTGCCCAAAGTGCAAGCTCAGCATATATTATGCAACCAAATTCTTTGTTGTGTCTAGCAACCAAGAATTAATGCCAATGCACTGGCCTTGATATATGTTACAAATTCAAAGTTCAGTGCCACTGCACTTAACAAAAAATATAATCCAAATATTCAAGTTCAGTGCCACTGCATTTTACCAAATTAAATAAGGCAAAGGAAAGTCAAATTTTGGATATTGCTAACATCAGCATATATGTTCAAATTTTACAATAATTGTTTTACATATAGATAAATATATTTATACTAATTAAATGTGTAAATCTTGATATTGTACAATTATAATAATAATACAATTTTACAATAAAAATAATTAAATGTGTGAACACGGTCAATTGTAAAATGACGCTTTCTGAAGCCAAATTGATTAATTGGTATAACATTGTTTTCTGATATGACAAGGTGTATTCTTTTTAATTGGTAGTAGTGATATAGGTCTATATGATGAGACCTCGTGCGCAGGTTTTCTCGGCTTTAGGATCATAATTACCTTCGACATTTTTCGCAAATTTAATTTATGTGTAGTCCCGCTTTAATTTTAATTAAGTAACTTACATGTATTTATTTCAATTTCATATTTGATACCAACAATGCTTCTAAGACAATGCAAATGCATTTAAACTTATTTAAGTGGAACAGTTATTTACAGTTATTTTTCTTTCCACATTATTCATAGACTTATCGGCTATTTAGACAAACTATACGACACACTCGCACTTTTCATTATTTATCGACCGTCGCTCTACAACTTACTCATTCTTCACATTGGTTTCCTACATCTTTGTTTGCATCTCATCTAGAACAGAGTTTACAACCGTACAACTCGTCTAATTTTGACATGTCGTTCGCTCCGAATAAGCCCATCTTTTCATTTTCTCTGCTACATTACAAGTATTATTCGCACCTTCATTTTCCCTTACTTTAACTACATCTTAACGACCTTTCATCAACTTTTTACCCTATTGAGTTCGCTTATTAGCAGCCAACTTCCTTATATTATGTTCCTGTACCCTAACTCTTCCTTTGTTCAACTGCTTCTTGTCTCTTCTTGTAAAATTGATGTTTGCCCTCGCTTCATCCCGTATTTCGTCCCGCTGACTGTGTAACTGCGATAGATACCCTTTACTCAACAACGCTTTTAAAGCCAAACTGTCGTGAATACGTATATCCAATCCCGTATATCATAGACAATGAATGCTTAGTGCCTTTTGACATACTCTATTTATAAATTATTGGATAAGCTCAACAAACTTATACCAATTTCACTATTATTCACACATAGTTTGGTGAGCACATCACTGACAATCTTATTTATTCGCTCGAGTTGACCATTTCGCGCGGAACACCAGTAGCAGTCATCAAATCTTGAATACCCTCGTGAACACAATGATCTTCAAAAGAAATTGAGGTAAAGGCTAATCCTTTGTCAGTTATAATATTTTTCGGACTTCCGAACACTGAAGCTTTAATTTCTAGCATATTTAACACTTTCTCTGTCTCCGAACTCTTAGTGGGGTACAACCAGAAAAATATTGATTTGATTGATTATGCAGTTTGTGTGTGGCCGTCATCGCCCCTATGTGGTCTAAAAGATATGTAACAAAAAGTTTATCTCCCTTGTCTATTGGATTTAGAAACCCTTCTCTCCTACCCTTTTTTGTGATAGCTACTAAACACTTTACACATGACTTAACGACCTTCATCACTTTAGTGGATGCATTTGGAATGTTATACAGCCTTTATAGAATTTCTTTTAATGCGAAATGACCAACAGGGTCTGCGCCATTTCTATAACTTCTGTTTCCATTTCTGCTTCCTTTTTTCATGTTCTTTAACATCTTCAATTCCTTCTTCTTTTTCTTTCCTTCCACGTCATATTCTTCTTCATCTGTTTTTTTCTTCTTCTTCTTCTCCTGTTAATTCTTCTCCAGCTACTTCAATTATGGGCTATTCGGGAGTTATGATAAATTTCATTCCGACGGAGAATTTATTGATCATTTCTAGTCTATATTCGTCAACCATTTTACAAATCTGACCCTTTTCTTCATCATCTAGATGCACAAGGTTCAAATCTTCAGCACAAAGATTTGGAATTTACAAAACGACCTTGATTGCATCTCAACATCACTGATTTCCGGTCTTGACTTTCTGCTTAGCAAATACGAATCAGTATTCTTTAGATTGTAGCTGCGAATCGGAGTCAACTTTTTGAAGAAAGGTACCTTCCCATCATCAAATTTCACATCTACATATTTAAATATATTGTTTTCCAACACCATGGGAAACAAAGCATCGACATCCTCAAGGGTATAAAGGTAGGTACTGAAGCTACTATCATCAACTTTTGCATTTAAAACTATGTGCCCTTTCGTGTAGATTTGTCCGCAATCTACTACATATAGTAGCGTAACTTGGTTACAATATTTAGGATCTACGATTTCTTTAAATGCGCTCATTTCCATTAGCATTATATTATACCTCACACACCAACATTATATTATATTATCACACACCAACTGAACTACGTAGCTTGCTCAAAATTAAAAAGTTGCCCACTGGTAGATTATAGCTGACGGCAGTGTTTCATTTGGAGTAATTGCACGGGAAATTCAATATGAAATATATATGTAAAAGTGGATATATTAAAAATTTTTAATTTCTTGGAATAATTGTAATATATTTTAAGTGAAAGTGTTTTTGGTTTTGCATGGTGAAAACCCATGCAAAACCAAAAATG